ATCCAGGGATTGGCAGCTGTAGTGCGACGGGTCTGCCCTCCTGAAATCATTGAAGTAGAACTCCAGCAACTGTAGAGCATTCTTTTTTTGAAAACGGATACCTGAACGGGTTAATCCTAAGAAATATTGGCAAGTGCAACAAAAAGTATATTACCATAAGTACAGAAAAGAAAAGCGTGTTTACATGGCTGCCCTTCTTGCTGTGCGCATAGATCACATCCTACGTGGGCCGTAAAAAGACACAAAAGAGGGAGCGAGAGATAAGCTTCATTTTGAAAATATAAATCCAACATTTTTGACAAAAGTGTCCTCACAAGGAATAAAATTCGGCGCACAAACTCACAACACCGAGAAATCAAAAGCAATCCATAATCCTCAATGACACCAGCGGCGCCCTGATCTAGCCCCGCGTTCGTCCAGCGCCTCTCCCACACGGACCGTTTAGGGAGCAGGGTCGCCTGCCACGACGGTAACCGCTAACATGATGCATACCTGTTTGCAAATTGAAGTCACGAGATGATGACACCTTGCGTCCTCACGACTCCCAACAAAATGCGAGACAAAGACGACGGGCAACATGAACTAATTGTCGGACCCCTTCCCATTCTGGTCCCAAATTAAGACTAGAATCTGACCCCCTTGACCCCTTCGCGCCTTTACCTCCCTTTTTCCCTTAATTACTACTGATTGGTTACTTAAGCTTTTGTTAATTCTATCCTCCTTTATATTATTATATTTGCCTGACGATAAATTAATTGAAAACGTTTGTTCGCATAACTTGACTTCCTGAAGTTTTTTCGTTCGTCTCTAGATATATTAGGTCAATTAGCAGTGTCTCACTACTAGTATGGTCTTCATGGCTGCCTTCATCTTCTGAAGTTTGAGATCCCATTGAAGACTGCCTTGTTAACGAGAATGCTATCCTGTTATGTTTGTTTTATTTCCGAAGGCTGCTTCGTTCAAGGTGACACAACCGGTTTTTTAAAATTTCGTCTCTCTCTACGGCAATAAAATATAGAGTTATTATGACAAAAATAGTCTGATTGACCTTTTTTAATGATAACTTACAAATCATAGTCAAAACTTTGTCACAGTATATCATTATTTTAGGCTACTTAAGATAGAACTTTTGTCAATGCCTTAAAAAAACTCCATAGGTCTTCAGTGTGAAAGTCGTGCGAAAATATTCCTTGCTACGCGTTTTCAGTCCCCTTTATTCACTTCTGCTCTTGGAAATGGTGCCTGCGAGAGTAGTGTGGGGGTAGTTGCCTTGTACTTAGGTTTTACTGTAGATAAATTCACTCACAATTCTGCACCTTCTTCGGACCGTACTGACCGACCAATACTAACTGGACTCCTACTTTATGCTCTTCTCTGTCTAAATTGCCTCTTTTTCCTATCATATTTGTGTATTTCTCCATCGCGCTGCGCTCCTATGTCGTCTACCAGCTGGGCCCTAACGTGAGCGTTGGTCCTGCTGCCGTGATCGGTGCTGGTGTCCGTCTGCGTGATTGCATCGTTCTGCGCAACGCGGAGATCCGCGCACA